TGTCATTCAATATATACTCCACAGATTCTCACCCGGTGTAAATTGGTATTGCTCTGTTGATTTCAATGGAGCCATAGCAATACACACCAACTGACGTTCTGACCCTTAGAGTAGCTTATTTTCTGTACAGTGACATCTTAGTCTCACCATGACTTCCTAACTTGATCACATCCTCTCCATGAACCCAATCTAAAACCTGTATCTCAATCATTTGATCATCCTTAAGAATTGCTAATTAAAAAACAGATGTTAAAAAATCTATTTTGATGTTTTCCATTTGGCAGAGTATTATGTTATGAATAATATAGTATGCACTTCAAGATCTTGTTAATTTTGATGTGATAATGAATGGGAATTCCTAGCGGAGTTTTTGAATGGTATTAGCTCAACAGTTATATGATTAAGTAATAAGACCTGCTGAGGCAGGCACTTCTTGAGGATGATTGACTGCTGTAATTGATTGACATCCAGAGGTAAAGTCAAGGGCACCAATTTACAGATCAGGTCAATTATCTCCTGGTAATGCCCACTTGGTATGTCTTATTGGTATGCTAATATTAACTGTTATTGAAACATTTTAATGAGTTTTTAATTTAAAAGTGGTAAATTTAAAAGGGGTGAACATTAAATTATTCATTTTGAAATAATGGGAATTGAAATATTCTGATTCACTAATAGTGATCTGAAAGTTTTGTTTTGCATACCAATTCTTGGAGAGATCATTTTAGTTCATCTTCAGGGGAAAGTGAGTTTTGTTCAGCATTGTAAGAACCCACAGTGAGCCAGCATGAAATACCTAGAAATTCCTGAGCAAACTGCAGAGCCTGAAAAATGAATGGATGCTGCCATATCTTAATGTCATTCCTGGAAAAGCCACCTTAGGGAGACAGAATAATGATGTTGGAGCCCTGCTATGGAGACAGTGGAGAAGCTAGAAATGTGCCTTTGTACCTCTGAATAAACCCTTGTCAACATGAAATTAACGGAAATGGGAGTTGTACAAGTTTTTTACACTGAGGAGCAGGTTTTCAAATAAAAAAATGGACCTGCGGGTAGTTGGGTGCTGTATCTAAAAGCATGCTTGCCACACGTATGCATGGATATTGGATATATGCAAGCCAAGTCGGTTCTAAAACACACACGCACACTATCCAATTTGCACCCACTTACTAGAAGAGTGTATGCAGATGTAGGTGCACAGAAAAAAAAACATTTGGAACCCGCGGTTGGTTGGTTTGGGAGTTTTTTCCCCTTGAATTATGCCAGATCATCATCAGCATCCCACTGTAGTTGTCTTTTTTTTCAAAGAATCATAGAAGATTAGGGTTGAAAGAGACCTCAGGAGGTCATCTAGTCCAATCCCCTGCTCAAAGCTTTTGTAAGTTTCTGCAAATAATCTTTACACACACAAAACTTGTGTGAATTTGTGGGGTCTCACTTCTATAATCTAACCCATATTTTTCCAAGAAAGATTACTTTCAAAGTGCTATATCCCTTGCTGTAGAAAAGGACATGATGTGCATTCAGGATAGAAGAACCATTCTATAAAGCTGGGCTGGGACAAGTAGGTGCCCTATAGTCAAACTATAGAATGGATTTATTTTTCATTGGACTATTTTTCCGTCTCCCTCCCTTTGCTCCCCTTTTCAGTCTTTATTTAATGGAAGACACACTCGGTATCATTAGAGTTCAAGTCAAACTAGTCAACCTACAGTGTTTCAGTGGGTGCTAAAGGAAGCCAAGCAAGTTTGCTTATCCCAGGCTGGAATAAGCTTATATGACTTCTGTCTCTGAGATCTTCACAAAAACTAGACATCGGTCATCAAAGTGAGCAGAATCTTAAATGAAAGATTAAGGGAAACACGCATCATGTGAACCAAGCTTTTACTGACCTCTATCTGCAGTAGTGGGATGGTGCCAATTGTGCAGTTGCATTTAAGGTAGCATTGTCTCTTCCATTATAAAGGGCTTGTCTTCACTACCGGATTAAGTCGACCTAAGTTACACTACTCTAGCTATGTGAATAACGTCGCTGGAGTCAACGTAGCTGAGTCGACTTTCCCCCAGTGTCTTCACTGCGCTGTATCAATGGGAGACACTCTCCAGTCAACTTCCCTTACTCTTCTCGGAGAGATGGAGTATCGGGGTCAATCAGAGAGTGCTCTGCCATTGATTTAGTGGGTCTTCATTAGACCCATTGAATCGACCCCTGCTGCATCGATTGACCAGTTCAAACTCTGGGTTCTGAAAAAACTTCTCTTTGGAGGTAGTACGGCTTTCTAGATAGGGTCATGGACTGGGAGTTGAGGAAACCTGGGTTTCTATTCTAAGCTCTGCCAGTGACTCACTGTGTGACCTTGGTCAAGTTTACTTCCCCTTTCTGTGCCTCAGCTTCTCTATCTGTAAAAAGGAGGCAGAAGTACCTTCCCTCCTTCCTTTTGCAAAGTGCTTTGAGTTCAATGGATGAAAACTACTGTCCTAAGTATTAAATCACATAAGCTTAATGTTTAGGTAACAAGTTTTTACCCTAAGGTTTTTTAAACCAAATCAATCCACTGTAAAGACATTCTTGAGTTACAAAATGTCTAAATTACATCATTAGCCCTGCTGTAAGCATGAATTGCACTAATGAAAAATTATGTTGATGCAGGCCACATTTCTATATTCTTTAGGTGCTTTAAAAATACCCTTTTTATGCCCTTAAATTTGGAATAATGTATGGCAAAGGATCAAGAGTGATGTGAAGATGAGCTTCATTCCACCCTTGACCCCTGCCATTAAGTTATTCAAAACTCAATGAAAGATCAGTTCCAGATCAAGCCATACTGAAATCCTAATCCGTGTGCTGTCATCAGCCAATAGTGAGTTTGGAACATGCCATATAGAGGCATGGCAGATGTTGCAAATCATGCTTCTTCTTTCCTGGTTTCTCTTCAGGCATGTAACCTTATTGTAATGTATAGGAATAGGGTCAAGTCAGCCTCAGTCAATAACCACTTTTGGATTGCTTCATTTTGCCTACCCATGCACTAATTGGTCCTTAATGCATCATTTAATCTCTCTCCAAAATGGCATTGCTCTGTTAATTTCTGTAATCCAGCCACCTATTCAGAAATTATTTCATTTTCTTTTTGAGTCCGTTTATAGAAGGAGAAACGCTCAACAGTCATCAGTGACTTTGGGGATTTTATAGAATATCCCCAATCGCAGCAAACGTTCTGTCTCTGGGTTTAATAGGAGCTGTTAAACTGCACAGCAGGCTCTATGTTTCCCCGCCCCTTACACTTAGTAGAACAGCCACACTTTCTCATTGTTTATACCATTAGCAATTAGGTGCTATTCCAGTTTCTTTATATAGCTGATCCAGGCTGCTACTAAGTGATCAAACAAGTCCATTTTCAACAGACAGATATTTTAAACCTCTTTTTCCCTTCCCAAATGAGCAGTTTACTTATAGTCCCAGTGGCTGCAAGCTGCAGTTTCCTTTTCATCTTTACTTTCCCTAGACCTCTGCAGTCCCATCCATCCTCAACATAGGTTGTTGTCTTTTGTTCTTTCCACAACAATGATGGGATTGAACCATTCAGGCCTGGTCAGTTCCAAATGATTGTGTTTTTCAGAATGTTCCCAACATGCACGATCTAACCACATATACACGCTGCTACCCTGGATGGGTTCTGGCAGCTTCTATAGAACACTGAGGGCCATTAGATAGCTCACAAACTACTTAAAGGGATACTGTCCTATTCCTAATCATCACATTTTTACCACTTTCCGTTTTGTAAATAGGCTTGAAATTCATGTGTGCGTGTGTGTGTGTGTGTGTGTAAATATGTAATAGATCTTGGTCTATGCATCCCCTTTAGTGGGTTTTTTGGGGCGGGGGTAATCAAGGTCTAATTTTTTTAATGTGTTTTTTTTTTAATCTTGTAGTAATCAATCACTGAAGAGTTCTGAAATGGCTTGGGCCTGCAATGAGTTCCAGGCAACTACCTCTCTGGTGAGCTCCATGCAGAATCCAATAGGCCCACCTGTGTGGTGTGAATAGTAGGATCAGAACTTAAGATGTCAGTGCAGTACACCTGTTGACTTATTGTAGGGTCATATATCACTGGACAATGTTACGTTCCACTGAGAAAGCGTGTTTTCCACTATGCAAGTATGTGAACTTGCACAGCTCTTTTGTACACAATTTATCCTAGAGCAGAGGTGGCCAAACTACGGCCCGCTGTCCCTCCTCCCCCGCAGCTACGCCGCCGCGCGGGCAGCGCTCTAGGAGGTGGGGTTGCACGCTCCTGCCGAGCAGCATGGCAGCGTGTCTGGCTCTGGCTGGGTGGCACGGCTGCCAGACATGCTGCTCTGAGCAGCATGGTAAGGGGGCTGGGGGGTTGAATAAGGGGCGGAGGTCCTGGGGGGCAGTTAGGGGACAGCAAGCAGGGGGAGGTTGGATGAGGTAGAGGTTCTGGGGGGTGGTCAGGGGACGGGGAATGTGTGGGGGAGGGATGGTTGGATAAGCGTGAGAGTCTCAGGGTGCAGGGGTGTGGATGGGGTCAGGGGATGGAGAACGGGGGAGTGGTGGGGGTTGGATAGGTGTGGGGTCCCGGTGGGCCTGTCAGGGGGCAGGGGTGTGGATAGGGTTCTGGGCAGTCAGGGGACTGGGAGCAGGGGGGTTGGATGGGAGTGGAGTCTCTGGGGGCGGTCAGGGGACAAGGAGCAGGGGGGGGGTTGGACGGGTCGGAGGTTCTGAGGGGGGCAATCAGGGGGCAGGAAGTGGGAGGGGTCGGATAGGGGGCAAAGGTCAGGCTGTTTCAGGATGCAAAGCCTTCATTACCCGGCCCGCCATACAGTTTTGCAACCCCAGTGTGGCCCTCGGGACAAAAAGTTTGCCCACCCCTGTCCTACAGCATTATAAAGTACAGCACTGTGTACTAAATGTGATGTCGCCCACTCTTATGAGAGGCTTTGAAGAAGGATACCGTGCTACAACACACAAGCACAACTAGTTTGTGCCTCAGCCTTAGATATTGTTTTAACTTTATTGGTTTATTTCATACAGCGTGATCACTGACAACTCCACATTTCACATCACTGGAGCTGCAGGAAAAAAGAAGAAACATATGATTTGTACCAAACTATTCAGAAGTAATATAGATTACCTGCAAGCAGGGCCATTTGCTGTGTACAAGTATCTGCAGATAACCTAGCACATTATCTATTACATCTCTGCAATTCACTCTTGTTCTCTCTCTTTCATCACATTCAATTATGTGTAGTCACTTAGAGGTACATTTTTAAAACACTGCATGGGTGATACGTGCAGGGCGGGGAAACTAAGAAGCAAATACCTGGAATGTTTCCGAGCACGCAGATCCATGTCTCCGTTATTTGGACAATTCATCTCTTCATGTCATCTGTCTCACACTGTCATGCTGAGGCCTACTGTGTTATCTCAAAACAACATATTTGGAGTCATTAGCTCCTTTTAAAAAAAAATCCACATACTTACTCATTATATTCAAGGTAGACATGTCTGCCTAGAGAAAATATTGGTTGGTTTATTCCTGTTCCACTACCTTTTTCGAGTTCTCTCTCTCCTATCTGCAGCCAGGGAAAAGATTCATATTCTAATGAAGCCACACACTGACACTGCACACTTAAGGGAGGGTCAAGGTCAAGAGACTCCTCTGCATCTGGATACAACACTTCTAGCTGCAGCATGATTTTCACACACACTCATGATGTAGCCTATTGCTAAACTGCTCCTTTCAGACTGTGCAAGATAACAAGGTGGCTAAGAATAGGCAGAGATGACAGTGGTATAAAATATTAATATAGACGTATACAAAGCAATCTGCAGACTTCCTGCAGATGCTATTGTGTTTTATAGTTTATTATGTTAAAGGGACACAATCAACTTGCAATCCAGTCGATTTCAAGAGTTACCTGTAGGTTTTAGGTACTGCTTCAGCCACTGAGTACCCTGCCAATATTTTACAACAAGGTTTTAATCTTTTTCATGGCTTTGGATGAAGGGGAGACCCACCCAAACCAAAAGGGAACAGATTGAATATACAAGGGCAGCAATGAAACTGTCTACACACACACTGCTGTGAAATGCACAAAGTAAATACACCCATAGGGGAGGAGATAAGAAGAAATATTTTCCCCTATGTCCCTGTCTTAAATCTATTGTTTTGTTAAAGGTAACACATGTAGGTAAATATATTGTACAAAAGTGCAATTTTTTTTAAGTTTAACCCTTTAAATGATTGGACTAACAAAATAACATGCCCGGCTAACTGGTTTTTTTGTTTGTTAGTTTGTTTGTTTTTAACTTTCTATTATCCTGCTTTGGCATGGAATTCATTTGCCCTGTTGTCCTAGTTTCCATTTCCTGTGTTTGAAGCAATAACTCAGTAAGATAAGTTATGCATAATTAGTTACATTTTTCAGATACTTCAAGGCACTTGGTTGGTGGGCTCTGTAGGGACAGGTCCCACATTACAAGCATTGAGAACTATGCTAATGAGATGATGAAATGATAGTATGCAAGTGGCTGTGCTAATACCTGTGTTAAGCCTCTGAGCATGAACAGGCTCTCATTCAAAACCCATTGTAGTCGATGGAAGAACTCCCATTGATTCTAATCACACCCTAAGAACATGTCTACATTGCAATTAAACACTCATGGCTGGCCCGTGTCAGCTGACTCTGACACGGGGGATCAGGCTGCAGGGCTCTAAACTTTCTGTGTAGACATTCAGGCTTGGGCTGGAACGAAGCGGGGAGGGTCCCAGAGCTCAGGCTCCAGTCGGAACCCGACTGTCTATGCTGCAATTTAAATGTTTCCAGAAGCTGGAGTGATCTATCTGACATGGCTGCTTATATAATCAAGATTAGTGCTGTGTTTTCTGTCTCCAACTCAAATCCTGAGTGTTTGCCAAACATTACAGCTTTGTGCCACACGCGACACCTAAGGACTGTGGACACCTCAGTAGAACTGCAGTTGTCAAGCCAACCAGAGAGGACAAAATCAGTGCTGCCCACACTAGCTCTATAACCTGGGTGTACAAGACAAGAGGAGGTCTGAAAGAACCTTCCCTCCCATCTTGTGCCTCTGGCATAGCACTCTTGCCATTATGGAGAGCTTAGGAGATGCTTCCCTCCTAGCCTTCCCCAAGACACAAGTCACCCCAGAGAGAGCTGGCAGAGGTGAGGACTATGGTCCTTTCCACACTAGCCCATGGCGCTTGCCATGAAGCAGCAGGAACACAGGCTATCTATGCACTCGGGGCAATGTGTGTTCTCCTTCTGCAAGCTGTTGATCTAGGAAGTGGGATTGTGAGTCTTCCATCTGTAAAGTGAGGTGGATGATTCTTACCTCTCTGGCAGGACTGCTGGGAAGATGCATTTGTGTTAATACAGTCCTTTAACAAAACAAAATGGGTATGAAATCATATTTATAATATCTGGGATGTCTGCATCTAGTGTCCACCCTCTGCAGATTACAAAACTACCAACTAAGTTGTAAAAGCTAGATTCAGACCAAGTAGAGTAAGTGGAGACCAAGTATTAATGGCAAGGGATTTATTTATTAATCGTGAGTTAGTTCTATGGGGAGAACTGGTTCAGTTTTGTTTGTTTTTAAATAGGTTCTACATTACAATGAGATTGTCTCGGAACTCTCAAGTATTATGAGGTTCTCAAATTTCTTGGGTGGATTCTTCTGTTACTTTAAAGAATATTCTTCTCTAGTAAGATTGACTTTAAAAGATATTCTTCTATAGCAAGGCTGACCTAACCCTGTGTGAAACTTTACATGCTAAGAGTCATGCTCCTGAACTGAAAAGAAAGGCCTCAGTTATGTGGTATAATATGTGGATCTCTGAATAATAAGTTGTTGAGTTAATTATCTAGTGTGAATGGTACATCTGATTGCATTTAGAAGATTCCATCACTGCAAGCAGTGAGAGTTGAAGCCCCAGTACAGGAGTTGCACAAGCAATTTAACATGTGGCTTCCATCCATTTTCCCCTCTTTGTATAAAACAACAACAACATATTCCATGTGTGGAATTGCAGCTAATAATAATAATTGGGCTGAGCAGCTGGAAGAGCAGTCATAGTTTAGTAGCAGATCACTGGTCTTGGAAGCTGGAGACCCAGATCTAATACAAACACTGGGTTTTCCATGTAAGATTCCTGTATTTATTGCTATGTAATTCTGTTTACCCCAGAGAAGCATATTACTCAGTCAGACTTGTAATATAGCCTGTGATTCTTAAACATCAGGACTCTTGTTTAATCTTTTTCCCCTTATTATTAACACATCACCCCAATACCCTCTAGAAACACTGTCCTGCATCTGAACTGTTGGATTCTCCCCAGTCTTGTTACCCTTTTCTAAATCTAGGAAGTTCTTAGTTCCATTCCAGGGCAGGTGATCTCTACTCATCATTCTCTGCTTGCTTGTACCATCACTTGTGATTTCTAATCTTTCTGCTTTAGAAATGAAATGCTGCCTTCAGGCAGTATCTATAAGAGAAGTCCCCCAAAACTGACCAAGGAACGGGGCAGATCTAGGCAGGAACACAGTCTGGGAACCCCCTCCAGCGTTAGTTGTACCAAACCCAAGAACCTACACCAGAGTGATTGAAAGAAAGTGGCACAGAGAGCTAGATCTTCAGCAGGTCTAAATTGGATATAGCTCCTGATCCTCTTCTGGAGCAAGGCATAGCTTCCATGGAATTCTTATTGCTTTATCACGTGGCGTGCAATGGAACCATGCCAATGGATGCCCCCGGGGATCTGGTCTGCAGTCCTCTTCATCCTTGACCAGTGCCATGACAACCTCACATCCCCAGCTGAGGAAACCCTGTGATCCTCTGCTTATCTCTTTTGTTCTTCTGTGGCAACACCCAGAGACTTCAATGGTGGAAGCTGTCGAAAGTTTATTTTAGGATCAAGCAACAGGTGTTAAAAAGGTTATTAATGTTTTCCAAGTAAAATTTTGTTTGCTTCTCAAAGCCTCTGTCAAGTCTGTCTGACGTGTATTCATCACCAAATGCTCTGGATATCGAGTACAATAATCTAGGTAACAGATTTTCAGATATAATTTGTGACACATAATTAACAGATCAGAGGAGGGTCTCGTTTTTTATTATCTGAAGTTTTCAGAGTAGCTACATTTGAACTCTGCTGCTCATAATAAACAACAAATGTTCACATTTTAGCAGCTTTGCAGATTTGAGTGTCTCACCATTCAATACTGGATTACCTGAAAAAAAAACCCAGTAAAATTATAAAAGAGCTTTCCTAACAAATGTTATTTTGCTAATAGTGATCATGTTACCTATATCACTCCCAATGCTACTTTAGCAAAATACTACTCTCTAAGTCTACTGTATTAGAAATGCAAAGGAGAAGGCAGGAAATGATCATATTATTGGCAGAATGGATGGCAAAAAATGGTGCTCTTAAAATAGTCAAATATGTGATCATAGCAGTTTAGTTGGTGTGCAGTTCTCATTGGTACTGCTCTGTTCAGTTTGAAAGGAGATACGCAAGACTGTTACATTTTCAAAGCAAATCATAAATATTAACTTATGGGCCTGGTTTTTCAAGAAGTCGTTGCACACCTAACTTGTGCGTGCTATTGTGAGCGGAAATCTGGTACACGTGTGGCAAATGATATCCTGTAGTCATGTGCAGTCATATTAACCAGGGGTGGGTGGACAAATCAGGCACTCAGTTGCATGAATTCTTTCACATGCAATTGTATGCCTGATTTTTTGAAAATCAGGCCCTTGATTTTAGTCACCTTGTGTAGTTATTACAGTCTGTTTATAGCTATACACTTTCCATCTCTCCTCATCCATCCATTCCAGTCACTTTCAGTACTCTTCTCTGAGCTTCTCCCAAATATCCTTCTGGTGATGAGATTTCCAGAATGGAATACAATACAGTCATGTCAGAGAAATGGGGGGAGAGGAGGAATGGGACTCTTACTTCTTGGTCCCTGACATGATTCCTCCACCAATACAACCCAAAATCTCATTGGTTTCTTTTCCTATCCTTTCACATTACAAATTATTTTTTAATTCATGGCCACTCCTACCTCTCTAGCAGATTACTCCAGCCCACTGAAGAGCAGTTGCAGATTATCTCCTCCCCTGTCTCTCCCCATCCCCCATATTCTGTGTAAAATGGATGAAAGGGCAATGCATTATATTATAACAACAACTAGGGACCAGGTTCGGCCTGGGCCACCCCTTCTCATGTTGCTTTGCCAAAACCTTTGTAGGGGGTAAAAAAGGGATTATCTGCAGAGTGAGGTTACAACTCAGTGTGAGCAAGTGTGGCAGAATCTAACTGTAAATCCTCAGCTAGTGTGGAAGGAGGGCTAATCAGCATGAGGGCCAGATCCTTAGCTAGTGTGAATAGGCATATTGAAGTCAATGGTGCTATGCAATGTGAATTTATATCAACTGAAGATCTAGGCCCTATTTTACAAGTGTAGTAAAATGCTGGCCTTATATTAACTAATCACAGCTCAATCTTACCTATTGTAAATGGTTTTTATAGCACAGTGTGTGAGATCTTTTGACTTCCTCATAGCTGGAGTGTTTTATCAGAGTTTAGAATCTGTCCTCGGGAAACAGTTTCTGACAATTGTATTACAGATGCAGTTACAACCATGAAGTAGTGAAATTCAGAATAAAACATCCTGTAATGTGTATTTAGTGACATTTATATCATGCAGATCTTAGTATAGGGTAGTATCTTTCCTAAATTTCTGTAGGCATGCAGTTCAGGTATAATTTTGATAGGTTAAGTATAGAGATGAGACCTTATTTCAGTTACTTGAAAGAGGCTTATATTGTCATTACAGAAAGAAAAATAGAGCACATATAAAAATACATCATGTAATTTATAGAGTAGGGTTAAAAGCCTATGTGCACTGGTTAAAAGCAACTTATTCCTGTTCTGCTCCTGTTCTCAAAATATTGGCTGGCACAGAACATGAAGGAGGTGGCTTCAACAAACACAATCTCTGTTATGGGAGCTTGAATATAAATATATAAATAGATGCTTCTCTGTACATCAGTCTCCTAGACTAGACTCCGTGACAGCTTCTATTTTAACCTTTCAAGCTAATAAAGATCTGCTTAAAAACAGGTACATTTTTCATATTAAAGACATTCTTGACTGGAGTGAGAATTTTTCTGCTACAGTGATTAGGTCAGATTCTCTAGTCTGGCTAAACTATACTCAGAACAGCACTGGAGAGGGGAGGGCAAAGGTGGCTTTCTGCCACCATTGTGGAGCCTTCTTGGGACTTCCTCAAAGGCTGCTTTTACTTATGCCCACAGCTCCAACGACAGCTGGGGGATAGCTGGAGAGTGGAGGCACCCTGGCCATATCTCCTTTATCCCAGGAATGCACTGGCGTGAAAGGAGGAGATGAGGGGATGAGACAGAGCCTCTGTGCCACCCAAGGATACCCCTCATGCCAAGAAACTCCTCAGGCAGCCAGAAAGAGTTCCAGAGCATAGGCTGAAGGAGAAAGTAACAGAAGAATGAGATGAGATTAAAGGAGACCAGTAAGAAGAAAATAACCTATTTTTTCACAAATTAAAGTTCCACTGTTCCATTATAACTCCTTGCACGTTGCTAGGCCTCAGTTTAGTGAATTTTGGGGGGCAGGAATTACAGAACTAGTGCATGCTCAGTATGACATTTATCAGGCTTTTAGCAAAGGCCTATGTATCATTTAAGACCTACTACATCTTGTGCTGGCTCTCTGCAGGGGGGGTGAAATTCACCTTATGCATGCTGGCATTGCCTAAACAGTCTCTTTTGCTACTCTGCAGTAGTGAAACCGGCATTCTTTTATCCCATCAACTTCTTAAAGTTCCTATTTTTAATTATTTGTAACTTTCTGTAAAAGTCCTCAAGAGAAGACTGTCGTGACACCCAGGGGCAGCTCTATGTTTTTTGCCACCCCAAGAATGGCAGTTAGGTGGCTTTCGGCGGCATGCCTGCGGGCGGTCCGCTGGTCCAGTGGATGCGGCGGTGTTTCTGCGGGTGATCTGCCAGTCCCGCACCTTCTGCGAGCCCGCCGCCGAATTGCTGCCGAAGCCGCAGACCTGCGGACCTCCCGCAGGCATGCCCCCGAAGGATACCTGGCTGCCACCCCCATGCCGCCTGGCACGCCGCCCCCCGCGGCTTCCCGCCCCAGGCACGTGCTTGCTGCGCTAGTGCCTGGAGCCACCCCAGTGACACCTTTCTTTGCATAATGTAAAGCAGACTACAAGTCAAACACTTCTATCTTTGAGCTGCTTGGTGTACGTCTGTAACACTGCCTGGTATCACAGCTATGTTTGAGTACATACTCAACTATGTATCATAGGCCTCCTACTGCTAAAGGAAGTAGTTCAAGTGGTAGAGGAGTCTGTGCTTGTAGAGCAGGAGATCTGAGTTCTATTCCTGATATTGCTACGAACTGCTTATGCAGCACTGACCATCCCGAACTTGTGTTCAGTGGCAACGGATTAATTAAATGTTTTATTTGAGGAATATTTCATGATCATGTGCAATGACTATAGGCCAGATTCTGAGCTAGTGTCGATCACCATCACTCCACCGAAAACAAGGCAGCTACACTAAATTACACCATCTGAGGATCTGGCCTCATGTTGTAATTCATAAACCTCGCAGGGCAGAGTTAAGGTTGAACATGAAATCTTCATTCAGTATTTCCTGGCCTTTTTTTGCGTGTATCTCAATGACCTTAGTGTTATACCATTATTGGGTTTTCATATGAAATTGGATTCAATTTTGTAACATAAAAATTGAGCCTTGTTTTCTAACTGATTTAATTTGAGACCAGGATATATTGGTGGATATAATCAGTTAATCACATCCTCTGAAGAAGTGTCCCTAGCCTCATACATCTGGGCTTCAGAACCTTGAATGCTTACATTCAAGCTATTTCCCAGACTTGTAGTTGAAGCCAACATATTAACTACAATGTGTATATTCTGTCTTCATCTACGTAGGTATAAGTTGCACATTTGGTTGTAAAGGTCTAGGAATAAACTGGCTTGGAAACAGAACTATCCCTCACTCCATGTGGGAAGCTCTTGTCTGATCAGTTATGAGATCTTTGGTGGAATAGAATGGGAAGTCAGGTGCTGCTTCTGCCCCTCAATACTTGGCCTGTGGCTGCCGGTAAAGGGAGTTTAAAGTGCATTAATGCCAGTACATCAGACACTCAATGAGAAAATAACCAACATGGAAACTGGAAAGTAAAAAGCTTAAATGAAACATGAATGAGAGAAAAGAATCCTCACCTGGCAGGGTCTGGAAGTAGAAGATTAAGGAGCCCCATTGGCTGGCTTGAATTGGACTTCCATCCAATGTTCTTGGTCCTGAAGGATGACACCCATGACGTGGCGAGACTTTGAGAAGCTTGGGGAAATGGTGAATACTTGGAGCAGAACCACCAGCCTCCAGGAATGAAAAGGAAAAGTGCAGTGCTCAAATTTGGGGATGGAGCACGGTTAGATATGCCACATTACTTAGGTTGTGTGGGTAACCTATGCTATACTGGCTCTCTGTCATCTAGTGGCTCGACTTCATAGAGGTTTGAGTTGGCTACTGAGTCCACTTTACCAGATCTGCTTTGTTATCTGAAGCAGTTATAAGATCCAGAGGTTCTGGGTTCAGTCCCTGGAGACTACCTGTCCAAAAAGACAGTTACATGAGTTCTTTGGGGCAGAGACTCCCTACTTGTGTGTACAATTGTGCTTAGCGCAATGGAGTCTTGATCCTTGTTTGGGCCTCTAGGTCCTACCTCAATATCAATAATTAATAATTTCCCATATCTCCATTCCATCAACTGGAAATACATTAACTTAGAACATATAATTACATCTGTCCTGCCATTTGAGCACTGGGGAAAACATGACGTATGGTGGGGGGGGAGAGAAGTTCAGCGACATTATGTCCTTACCACATAAACTGTAGTAATGATTCTTGATCTGTATTTTGCACTGTGTTCTTGCAATAATGTTTAAAAAAAAACACAAGAGTACAAGAATAAATGCTGTAAGTTAGAACTACCCTGGAGCATCTCTGAATTCTACACCCTAATGTGCTGGAGAGTCAGGTTTTTTTCCAGTTTTTAATACCATATTTCACTGTATGTAATACAAGAACAAAACATAACTTTGGGGGATGTTTTGTTTGTGCTGAATCTGCCCAGATTCTTTTCGCTTATTGACCTCCACAGCACTCTTAGAGTCTGTCATCTTTTCATGTTGTAGAGGAAACCAGGACGTTAGCACTGCAGCGGCACAAGTCTACACTGACACTGATGCAGTTGTGCTGTTACAGCGCTGTAAGTGTAGACAAGCCCTGAGACTTGAACTTAATTTTTTTTTAAAATCTCGCTAACATCACTGAGGGGAAAGTTTCTTATTTGCATAATAAGAAACTTATTTAGCATGTGTACCACTGTACACATCAAAGCACGACACAATCATTAACAAAGTAATCTTCAAAATGCTCCTTTGAGGCAGGTAAGTTTGTCAGGCTAATTGAGGTACCAGGAAGCTAAGACCTTGTGTACACGAGGAATGCTTGGCTGGTATAGAAATACCAATACACTCTACCAATAAAAGAAAGTGTGGCTGCAGTTTCTACTGGCAGAGTTGTGCTTCTATAACTATCGCTTATTTCACCCCACCCCCCCTAAACTACACAAGCTATCCCAATAAAAGTGCAGTTTTGGCAGTTTAACTGCATCTACACTAGGGCTTCTGCTGCCACAGCTCTATTAGTCATAAATCACATCTCCTCGTACCCCTGAGCACCAGCAATATGGAGCCACATGCCCTCAGAAAGTTTGCCCCCAAGCCAGAGAGTGAGTTAATGGCAGAGTCAAGATTACAACTCAGAAGTTTCTGGTTCTCCAGCCTTGTCTACACTACAAATGCTTTGAAAGATTAGCTCCCTACTGTAGACACAGGCTATGCCAACAGAAGGAGTTTTTCTGCCGGTATAGTAACATCACTTCTCCAAATTACATTAGCTATGCTGCCAGAACCCTTCTTGTGTTGGCATAGTTGCCAGAATAGTTGTCATTGGGAAGGTGTTTTTTCACACCTCTGCCCTACATAGTTATGTTGCCAAAACTTTGTAGTGCAAACCTGGCCTCAGTCCTAAGGCCAGACTAGTATACAAAGCCCCCCCTCTCATTGTATCTGAGTTTTATATACACTGTGCATGGACACAAGAGACAGCTAATGCATGACAGTGTGACGTGGTACAAAGTCTGTGTGTGGAAGCCATGTTACACATGAGTGGAGAAACCACAAATGAATTCAAGAGATGCCAAAGGAGTATTAATAGAACCTTTGTCATACATGCACAGCCTGCATTTTTTTATATTCCTCACAAATGACAACGTTATTTTAGGGATGTTTTCGACTTTTAAGTATTATAGGATTGATTGATTTATTTATTTTACCCTTTCACCTATGAAGCTTGGTATCTTAAGAGTCTAACTGCATGGGACAGAGGGAGCCAGTAAAAACCTTTAAAAGCAATCTAATATAGTATTTCTGTTGGTAATGATGTCACGATTTTCAAGTCTGCCCGTATGGAAAGACTGGGTTTTCACATAAAATCTGTCTTTGTGTGAAGTCCAGCTCCACAGCAATTTCCTGTGCAGGGATTTGAGGACAAGGCAGTAGGAGAACAGAGCCAGGGCATTCACCACCTCCTGGATCCAACCCTTGCTCCCTGCAGAATGGAGGTGTTCAGGCGCTGTGAAGTCTCCTCCAACTATGAAGGCCTATTCCAAATATTCCTCCTGAACAGATGACAGGGATCCTAAGCCCCAGCGTCAGAGCCAAGTAGCTGGCTAAGATTTTTTCCCCTTAGTGTGCATCTGAGGCAGTCTGGCATATCTGAGGCAGTCTGGCAAGAGCAATTATGGCTCTGGTTCTGGCGGTTGAGTTAATAATCATTAACTAATAAAGATTTACATGATACATTTTGATTAAATAAAATCCAGTTTTAACACTTAGCAAGATGCATCCTCTAGTTTGCCTGACAAATAAATGCCTTGGAGGTTCTTCTGTCTCCAAAGGGTTAAAAAGTACATCACTTGTTCTGTCTTCTCTATTAAGTAAATATAAGACATTCTCCAAACCAGAATGCTTACCCCACAAGATCTAGATCAGGGATGGGCAAACTTTTTGGCCGGAGGGCCACATTGGGGTTGCAAAACTGTATGGAGGGCCAGGTAGTGAAGGTTGTGCCTCCCCAAACAGCCTGGCCCTCACCCCCTATCTGCTCCCTCCCACTTCCCACCCCCTGACTGCCCCCCTCAGAACCTCCGACCCATCCAACCCGTCGCTAACCACACCCTCCCGGTACCCCCCGTCCCTAACTGCCCCCCAGGACCCCACCCCCATCCGACCCCCCCTGCTTCCAGTCCCCTGACTGCCCTGACCCCTATCCGCACCCCTGCCCCCTGACCAGGCCCCCGGGACCCACGCCTATCCAACCCCCCCTGTTCTCCATCCCCTGACCCCTATCCACATCCCCGCCCCCTGAGACTCCCACACTTATCCAACCCCCCCACCCATGTTCCCTGTCCCCTGACCACCCCCCAGAACCTCCACCCCATCCAACTGCCCCCTGCTCCCTGTCCCCTGATTGCCCCCTGGGACCCTCGCCCCTTATCCAACTCCCCAGCCCGGGTCCCCTTACCATGCTGTTCAGAGCAGCATGTCTGGCAGCCGTGCCGCCTGGCCGGAGCCAGACACGCTGCTGCGCTGCTTGGCAGGAGCACACAACCCCGCCGCCCAGAGCGCTGCCCGCGTGGCGGCGTGGCTGCGGGGGAGGCGGGACAGCATGGGAGGGGCCGGGAGCTCAAGGGCCGGGCAGGACGGTCCCACGGGCTGGATGTGGCCCGCGGGCTATAGTTTGCCCACCTCTGATCTAGAGCCATTGCTGTGTAAAAAACACTAAGCTTAAAATATATGTGATCCACATACCAAATACTATCTGCACAGTTAGTAGAATGCAAGGGTTTTGGAAAAGAGCTTAAACATGTGGTTAGCTGACACGGCAGACCAACTATTTCTGCCATTCAGTTCTTTGGTAGATAATATTTGATTATTTTAAAAATAAAATGAAATAAAAATAAATCCCTGTGGACATGAGTCTCCCCTGTCTCTCTAGCCTTATATCAGCATAACCTCACCAAAATCAAAGTTACACTGGTGTAAATCTGGAGTAATGCAGTGGGGAATCAGGACAATTATTTCACACCTAGGTCATATTAATGATGAAAACAACCACAGCTTTGAAATTCACAATTCAAGGAGTCACTTCATTCTTCCATATCCCTTCCCTAAATTTTATTAGTTTATGTCACAAGCCTCTCCTTGTTTAATCAGAGTGTTTGCATTTAATATTAGTTTCCCCACTTCCTCCATTCTCATTACTTATAATAATTCTTGCCTCAACATTGAAAGGTAATGTGGTTGTGATGGTGCCAATAGCATCGCAGGATAATTATGCTGACAATTGTTAGTATAATCAACTATCATTTTAAAACATAAGTTTAAATTTGTGGGTACTAAATGGAATCTTTTTCTTCACAAAAGCAGAATTTCATAAGTGAACTCTAGTAACAAATATTTAGATCTGCTTTCCTTGCTCTGCTACTAAGGAATAGTAGTAAGTGTCTTGGGTCTGATTCTCCAACTGCAAGATGTAAGTCAATCCCATTGGCTCCAATTGCAGCTACTCATATCCTACACGGGAGACTAGAGTCTTCACTGAGTAGCTGATTATTCAAGTTCGACTGTGATTCTATCAAAGGACAGGATGTAGCCTTTGTGCAGAATCTAACCAACAAAGTACAGTGTATAGCCACATAGAACCTATGCTGTCAAAACCTATACTCACTCCTATATTGCAGTACCTCTAAGAGACCAGGTGCTGAAGTCTGAAGGAAATAGACATTATGAATTGCTGGGAAAGTTTTTGGAAAAAGTTATGTGAAGCACAGGAAGAATATTCCAAAAATGTTAAAGGAACACACCACACGTGCATTAGAAAGACAGATGTTGAAAATCAGAAAAGATTGGGAATATCCCATAACAGCAATATTCGGGCTGAAGTCAAAAGTGAGAGCGGTGGTTATACAGTTAGTGTCTGATAAAAATCTGTTCTGTAACTGCTCCTGAAAGACGATCTAACTTGCCCCATATTTAAGATGGATGAGAAGTTTGCTGTCAAACAGACAAGGCTTAAAAGAGTAGAGGAACTGAAGGTTTGATCTTTAACACCAGATGGAAAAGAGAAAGATGAAAGAAAAGTTAAGCAAAGCCTTTTCCTAAGCTGTACTGATTACTAGAAAGCTTTTGACATGGTCTGCAGTATAAGCAGAAGGGAGTGGTGACCCTTGATATTAACCAGCTCACCCA